TAGCAATACAAGAACTGCTATTGTGATAACCAGTCAAACATTATCAAAACATAAATACAAGAAATTAAAATAAAAAGAAATACAATAATCAGTACTAAAGATCATAATCAGATCAATCGGTGGCAAGGACAATGGAGAAAAAAAACCACAGTGTACAGGATTAATACCGTAGATGTAGAAAATATAAATGACAGAGGATACATGGCAATGTTAATGCAGGGATGAATAACCTCAAATCACATATACTCTATATTTTATACACCTAGGGTAAATTTCTTAAAAGGGAAAGTATAAGGTACACAGCTTGGAAGGAGCAAAGCACAGTAACCCATAGCAACCAATCAGAAGTCACTTCACCTGAAGCCACACTAGTATACCATTGACCCTGATTAGTTACCACGCACTTTGTAACATTTTACTGACATTCGTGATGCAGCTTTTACAATTGTCACATGTCTGATGTTCCATATCTCTATGACTGAATCTCATGAATAGATATTCAGATTCCTCCATAGAGGTGTTATGTAAATCAGACAGTGCATTTGTCATTTCTTTACAACTGCCGAGATAAAAGGATAAGCCACGTGCTGTAGAGTCTTCAATTGATCAGTCGGAGCACATTGCTATATGTGCATTACAGGAGCAGTAAAACGATATTCACAATCACTGTGCAGCATTAATAAACAGAAAGCATGCTTTGCATATGCAATGCATAAATATGGCTGCTACAAATGGAGATTTATTATTCCAAACTATATCAAGAAGCATGTATTTTATACATTACTGGATTAAGCAAATTATGTTCACATGTTGAGACTATAGATTCCCTTTAATATGAAAATGGAATGTTGCCATATAGAATCTCAGCATGTGGAAAATAGATAGTGAGGTGCAGTTAATTCCACAATTCATCCGATTAGCTCATACGTGTTAATTAACACGCTAAGCATGAGAAGCAGAATGGTTAAAAAAAAAAAAAAAATTGCAGAATTAGTTTGCAAGTCATGCAGCAGTGAAATGTACTTCCAAGGCAAAAGCTGGCTTAGGTACTCATGGGTGCCTTCTTTTAGAGCCCTGTCCAGGCAGAGTGGCTTACAACTGAAAGGGTTCACTTTTCAACCAAGTTTCTCGTGCCATGTATATGTTTATGAACATTACAGGTAAAGTATAGCATTTTCTATAGCAAAAACAATTTAGCAGTGAATGTACTACATGTACTTTAATCTAGAAAGAACTAGTGAAGCTTGTTTGCAGTGTGTGCAGAGCTGGGCACAATTCCGCAAAGCCACGTTAAGGCAACCAGAACATACGAAAATGACTGAAGGCCAATTTACACACAATATGACTTCCAGAAACAAGTTGAACATAGTCCACTGCACCCAATGGATATCTTAATAGCCTGTGCAGACATAATAGATGATCCATGAACTTGTCTTACCACCTGAATTTACAACATTTTTACACTGTCCCTTGTATTTTATACGTCAACACATATTGTGGATATCTGCTCTATACAACCACTTTGATATGGAAGGATGCTGGTATCCTATGGAGTAATGGCATCGTGCAACTTGGATGCTAAAGTAGAATACTGCTGCTTACACAGGTCATTGTATAAGAAACACTGGTGGATGTAAAAATGCCTTTGTAGACATCATTGTACAGGCCGGGCACTCTGTGGAGAGGGATATTGGCTTCTGTTTACAATTTGGCTGTAGTTTTACAGCCTATCATTGTTAAAGTAAATTTATCTTTTAAAGGGTATGGTGTCCAGTGACCATAACCTAAGGTATTACAAATCGTCAATAAACAAGAAAGTTCTTTAACACACTCGGTTGCACACTTGTCTCACTCCCTAACCCTTCCTAAACTAGGTTTATGTCTTTTCTATATGTAAATGTTGGAGGCTGTGCAGGTAAAAAGTAATCGTAAAAAGTCTACCTGTTAGAAAACAGCCACATTGCGGTGTCTTCATGCTTACTTTGATATGACTTTGGACCCCCAAAACCTGGGGCAATAATGCAAACATCCAAAACTTCCATGGTTTCACTGTGCCCAACAACCTCCTATCTCCCTATTGTGATGGGTCACAGTGCAATCATCTGAACTCAGTTGGTATCGGAATATTAGCACGCCCCTGAGTTTTGGGAGTCCTGCAGTGCTCAGAAAGTAAACCAAGTGTGCAAACGGGCACAATGAGGTGTCTGTTTTACTATCGTGTAGCCAGTTAACTACGTTCGTCAAGCACACAGGCTTGCATTTAATTACCCGTTTCACTATGACGCCAGAAATAAAACAAGATATATATAATTTAAGCAGTAATACGCAGATTATTCAGCCAGCAACAGATGACAGTTTATGAGCCTTTAGATGTTATTTGGAAATAAAGAATGACTGGTTAATGAATATGGTTCGCAAAAACACAAATGGTATAACACATGGGAAATGTTATTAAAAAGAACTAGGGCAAAAAGTTAACATGACTCCAAACTTCTAGCATGTTAGCAAAGTTTGGTTTCAATAAGTTAGTAAATAAGCAAATAATATTTCCACCATCAATTTAAAAGGAATGTACAATGTTTTTCCAATTCGTGCAGATTTTACTGTAAAATAATTTATGACTTTTTATATTTTAACAAGCTTCCACATTTATGCCAATGTTTTAAAGCTGAGCACCACGGAAAAACGAGTTTAAAATCTTTTGATTGGTTCAGCAAAGTGTTCCAGCTAATGTGAAGGAGACTTGCTCATGCTCCCCCTTTCTCTCCCTCATCCATTTATAAAACATTGTACTTTTCAGAATACAAGGCCTTCTGTGATTGGACAATGGGATAGGAGGGGTGGATGAATGACAGCACTGCCCCTTGTCCAACCACAGAAGGTCTTGCATTCTATAAAAGAATACAAGATGTTTTTTTTATTAATCCCTTAAGGCCTTGTTCACACCAAGCATAGAGCAGTTGCAGACCGGATCAAAACTGCGTCCAATGTATTCCAATGGTATTTTTTGCTCCAGTTCACATCGCAGCGTGCAGTTCCAGAGCAGGTGAAAAAACTGCAGCAAGCCCTATTTTACCTGCTCTGGAACGCATGCAAACACATCAAAAACGCATGCAAATGCCTTGAACAAAAGCCCATGTTAAAAAAATAAATAAAATAATTTTATACCCAAAACGGCCCGTTTTGGGTATAACCCACTACACTGCGTGTGCAGAAACCTGAGCGGATCTGCTCTGCATTTGGTGTGAACAAGGCCTAAGGACCCTTTAGCTGCAAGGCCTTTTTTTGTTCTCTGCACACATTATAATCCACACTTTAGGCCTAAAAATTACTTCTTACACCCAAACATTATAGATTTTCTGAAAGCCAAAACCCTGTAGAATTAAATGGCAGCAGTTGAAAATGTTTATGTTGCACGATATTAGCACAACTTTTTATCAAACCCAAAAATTTTGTAAAAAAATCAACACAAGTTAAATTTAGTGCCCCAAAACACAATAAAATACCAATTTTTTTTAAAATATAAAAGATGGGGTTACGACAAGTAAATAGATACCCAAAATACCCAGGTTAAAAATTGTGTGCGTCTGTGAAACGGCAACATAATTTAGTACACCAAAAAGTCCATAGACGCATGTGTAGCGCATTGTTTTTGTGCGTAGCGCACCCGACGCGTGTTTACGTGAATACGCACATGCTCGCAAGGACTTTTAACATTTTTTAAAAATCATTTTTACATTTAATATTTTTTAAAACATTTTTTTTTTACTTTAATTGCTACCACATAGGGGGGCTTATAAGCAGCTCCCCAGAAGATCAAAGTTGCCAGTAGCATCCATATCCAGCGTTAGAGGGAAACTTTGCTGGACCAAACAAAAGTTATACAAATTCCCTGGAATTCAGTTTTAAAAATCAACGCTGCTTGATTGGCCACCAGAATACGTTTGCAGTAGCTCAGTGTAAATACTCTAAAAACAATTGTTCAGATAAGAGATCAGCCACACATGGAGTGCATTGTTTTCAATGACTCGACAGACCCACAGCTTAGGCTAGCCATACAAGTCTTGATTTCTCTCATTAGTAGTAATAGAGAACAATGATTGTGTAGAAGAGCAGGAAGACGATTCTGTAAATTGAAGATATGTCCTTTGTACATGTGTAAATCATCCATGGCCTTAAATAACAACAACACCTATACATTCCTTTTAATATTAACACTCCTTTAATAGCTTCTGTGTAACATGGAGGAGTATCCTCATATCCTTCCAACAGATAACAGCCGGGTTCAAAATACTAACCATCACCTACAGAATGGAAGGTCTTGTGTCTAGCAAAGTGCGAAACAAGTGTTGTTTGACAAAAGGGACACATTTTAGAACATTATGTATGGTCTTTTTCCTGAAGAGCACTAAGGCCCCATTCACACCAGGGCGACAGCGTTTCAGCACTGCTTTTTATGCGCATATCAGCACGTAGCACAAGCGTTTTCTGTTCATATGGCAGCGCGTTTTTGAAGCTCATTTTCAGTTGTACAATGACAAGCAGGCTCAGCTGCTGAAAAGCACATTTCCATTGAAGTCAATGGAGCTGATCAGCGCAACAAAAAGAAGTTATGGGACTATTTCAATCGACAGTTATATTTGTGCGTGTGATCCCGCGCGTTTGCGCAAGTGGCCCCCATAGGACTGAGATTTTATTTGCATGTGTTAGAGCAGGAAAATCCGCCTGACTAAACCGCCCTGGTGTGCACGGGGCCAGGAGTTCTGATATGTGTAATTAATACTGACACAATGGTGTCTGCTGGAGAGATTTCTCGGGAGAATGTCCTCATATCCGTGGCATGAGACAGCTGATAAATATTGGCTATAAAATGCATTCTGTTCTCAAAGCAAGTAGGGCCCTTTTTTAATAAATACATTTTTTAGTAAAACAGTGTTGGTTGGATTATGACCTTTAAAGTTACTTGATATAGTACAACATTCCTCTCACACAATACTCACTGAACTCTTTCTCCAATTGGTCTGAGTAAACTTGTCATGCTGCTTTAACTTCTCCACCGTGGGCTCTTGAGTTTCTTTCTGGCATTTACATCTTGTTTTCTGCAAATGTCAAAACAAAAACAAAAACTTATTATAAAATATTACAATTCAAGTATCTGAAACATTTCTTTATATTACTTTCCCAAAATCCATTGCACAGCAAAAACCAGAAAGAAAGGCTAAGCACTAATCTGATCAGGCTCAGAAACAAAAGGAAGTCTGGGGAACTAAATACAAAAATACTCAGTTTCATGGAAACTCTCAAATTCATCTTATCTGGTAAATGTGTTCAACTCTCAGCGATTAAGGGCCAGCTCTCTCCACATTTTTCAACCTTGTACTGCTTCTTTTAGTTGGTTTCTGTTCTGGTTGGCGTTGGCTTTTTTGGTGGCTTGGCCTCTTTACTACCAATCAATCTAAGCATACCTCTGGTGAGTTCAGATTGTATGACATGTACAAAATAGGAGAACATGAACCATTTATTTATTTACACAAATGTTTAAACCCAAGAACAAAAACATAATACATGGACAGGTTTTTCCCTTTCTGCTTTAGAGGAAAACCCCTTAAAGTGCTGCAAAGAAACGAGGAATTCATTTGTTTTCACTTATTTTTCATGTTAAGAGTAATTTTTTTCATGTGAAGAGTAATTTTGAAATTTTAGCAAAACATTGCTTACTAAAATATCAAAATTGCTCTTAATATGAAAAATAAGTGGATTAGTCAATGAAATCCGAATCATGCTATTAAATGTTACATTTTAATTTCACTAAAATGCTGTGCTGTGTCTTAAAGAGATTTCCCTTTATTTCCTGTCCTATGGACTCAACAGGAAGTGAGAGGATATATTTTCAATGTGAGGGAACATCTTTCTTACACAGTTCTCCCTGGAACAAATGTCCCCTTTGGAATATTTCCCCACTATTCCTGCACTGGTGACAATTTAAAATGTTTGATTCACCCATCACTTTAATTCCTGGTGACATTGGTGATCAGGACAAATTATAGAAAATGAATCTCTCTAAATAGGACACAGGCAATAAAAACCTGACAGTGGTTCTATAACCCCTCACTGCCCTATCCTAGTCTAAAAAAAGTTTTGGCTTTAATGCATTAGAGTACCCCATTAACAAAAATGTATCATATTTGTGCATCACTCAGCTGTAGATCCTCAAATCCTCTCTGAATTGGTGCTGACACTGTCCTTCCTTCTGGAGGGTGGCTACTTTTATTCCCATGTGTGTTGTAAAGTAGCAACCGCTCCAAGTTCACTCTCGTGATGGACTACAATCTCAATACAAATTATTAAAGTAAACATGGGATTGTAGTCCATCACAGGAGCAACCTTGGAGTGGTGGCTACTTTACAACACACACAGGGACCATGGGGAACAAAAGTAGCCACCCTCCAGAAGGAAGGACAGTGTCAGCACCAATTAAGAGATGGTTTGAGGATCTACAGCCAAAAAATTGCATTAAGATTTAAAGGAGAACTATGAGGTGAGTAATTTCCACTCATCCTCATAGTTAGAGCCAACCTGTGACAAAGAAGCTGTCACAGGTCGGCTCTATTGAGTGGGAAGTGAGCGAACACATATCGTCGCTCGCTCACTTCCCGATCATTTCCCTGCAGAGAGCGGTGACTGTCAGTCACCGCTCCCTGCAGGGATTCCACCCACCCCTCTCCAATACCACAGCCCTGAGTGGAGGAAATAATGGGGGAGGGACCAGGCACAGCTGGCTCTGCCTCTAGATAGGCAGAGCCAGCTGTCACTCACGCAGCTGGGTGAAGTCAGACAGTATTGTCGGGATCTGTCCTGGCTGTGGCGCTCTCAGTATATCGTGGGCAATAGCTCGTTATATACCGAGCTTTGGGTCACAGGAGGACACTAGTATATGTCCTCTTGTGACCCTAAAGAGAACTATGGGGAAAAACACCAGATAGTTCTCTTTTAACCCCTGAGTTTAGTTTCACTTTAGCTACATAGGCAACTAAAATTTATGCTAATTAGCGATTTAACCTCTTGCTGCCAATGACCACATTTGAAACACACAGCTTTAGAAATACTGGAAGTGAGATGATTGCCAAAGAGGTTGAAAACTTAAGAAAAATTAGATTAAAGCTGAACTTCAGATAAACGGCTAAAACACAGAGATAAAATACATATATGAAAGCGGTTTTACCTGTCAAAGGGTTTCTATTTCTGTCCACTCATTCCTGAAGCATACAAAGCCAACCAGACAGCCAGACTGGAGACCTAACTCTTCTCTACTGCAGTAAAGCTCACCATACACTGCTCCTATTGACCTGGCAGAAATCTGCCCTCTGTGCGCGGGGCCCCATCAAGACTCCTGCGTTTGACAAAAATTGATGTTCCAATGTTTTTAAGTTTTAATCCACTTTTGTGGAAGGGGGTGCTGTGAAAAATCTTGGCTGAACAGTGACTGCAGCCAATACCACATCACATATCTGAGAAAGTGACCACGTTTTGGGGGGTTTTAAATAATTTAATACCATATCATCAAGACCTCATGGTATCAGGACTTTATTCCTGGCACACCACACCAAGGTTACCCACTACCGCACCGGCACCTCTGCTAAAGATTGTCAACACATATTTTTTCCCCTCTTCAACATACTATTACCTAAATTAATCTGTGTCTTATTCTGCCTTATGTTCAGCCTTACAAATGATCATGCAATTAAGCTGAAGCAAAGCAAAAAAAAATGCTAAGAAAAAGGTGACACAAATCAGCCACAAATGATTGCACCATAACGTGGCTGCTCACCAGTTGTTCCTGTAATTGTTTTATCATGTCATCTTTTTTTCTAGATTCCTCTTTTAGTTGTTGGATCTCAGTCAGCAGGTTTTCAGTCTGAGCAAGGAAACAATAGGGTTAGATTCTTTAATACCATAGTCACAATGTTGAAAACACACCCTTCCACCATCTAAATATTTTCATACATATACTGTATATTAGTTTCAAACACGTTCCCAGTACCAATACTCTTGATTACTTTAATTATGTGTCATTAACTAGATGCAATGAAAACATGATTAAAAATATTATGAATCCAATAAAAACAAAATAACAGAATCTCCTTGACTACTGAATGTAATTTTGGTTTGGGTTTTGTGAACTACAAAACTGTAAAAAAAAAAAGTAGAAAAGAAATGTAGTTGGTGGCAGGAATATCTACATGTACTGCAATCATATCCAAGAGTCATATTTTGCAATAAAGGGAATTTTGTATTAAAATCTACACTGTTTGTCTAATTTTATGAATAAGAAAGCTGACCATTATAAGTACACTAGCTCATAAAGCATTAGCTCAAATGCAATGATGGCTTTATGTATACCGCATATGAAATGAAATAATGTTTGCCTAGCCAAATGTGTACTCTCTCATTTGCTTACCCAAATTCCATTTTGCATACATATAAGCACAAAAAAAAAAACAGCATGGATACCGGGAAGTCAGATTTTTTTTTTTAAACCACGGGCCTTGGAAGATCACATAAAAGATAAATGAATCTTTACAGAGGAAACATTGAAAATGTATGCAAATTACTGATGCAGATGAAGTGCTTTCATACAACATACGTTAATCAAAGAACAATACGAAACAAGTTTCAATATATTGAAATTATGAAGGGAGAGGGGAGACGACCCAAGCAAGGGGCACAACCTTTAGGGATATGCAATAAATGGAATCCAATAATGCGGAGATTACATTAGATTATTGGCAGAGTATACAAACTATTATCATATCCAGCCACATATGTACTATGTTTTCTACATATTAAACCTTTGGTATGGTGATTAGTACTCCATACCCTGAGCAGCTTTAAAGATTTTACCAATTGCAGGTAAAAGAACAGATAAATGAAATACTTGCAGCATTCTCCCATTCCATCAGCAATAGTTCATCCTCCCTTCTGTCATGCAATAGCCCTCTCCTCTTCTAGAAGTGTCTAATTACTCTCTCTCTGATGGCCCAGCTTCCCTGCCCCTTCCTAAATGACCGTTAATGTAACTGCCAAGAGGGGATGCTATAGACCAGGGTTGGGCAAACTGTGGCCCTCTAGCTGTTGAACAACAGATCCTATGAGGCATTGCAAAAGTCTCACAGCCACAGGCATGACTCTCAGTGACAGATGCATCATGGGATTTGTAATTTGACCAGAGATGGAGGGTTGGAATTTGCCCACCCCTGCTAAAGACTGTCTTTTGAGTGACAGCCCTGAATCTGCTGGGCTGCTGAAATCATATCCAATATGCAGAAGTCTCAGGGCTTCTGGATGTCAACACAAGGAGACATCTTATGCACGCTATTTACCTATGATAAGGTAAACGCACATATAATCTTCAACAACAAGATTTGGTGTTGTTGTTCTGTCAATTACTAATAAACAATAACTAATCATTGTTTATACATAGCTTAGCAAAGGGAAATGTTTAAGCCCACAGGCTATGCTCAAGTTGAGAGAATATTTTATCAATTCTGCTCATTGTGTTCAATATGAACAAAACTGTACGCAAAGCTCTATTGAAAAAAATACAAACCTATGTTGATAGAATTGTCTCCTAATAGCTCTAACCAATTGCAAACAATTAATCTCTGAGATACGCTTATTAATCCAGCTCATGGCACCACACTTTACCCCCCTAATCTGACCTTCTTATACAATGCTTCATGAAACCCCCCACGTATGTTCAGAGTAATATATCACTTGACACAAGACTGATAATTGTTTATGCAACTGTTTTGCAACAACTGTAAACAGTAATATCCCGATAAATCAATTTAAGGAACCTTTATTTGTATGAAAAAAAAATCAAAGCAGATTCTATAATGCATTCTGTTGTTTGCAGGGCTCAATGGGAAGCACATGTTCACTGGTTATTGTAAGCTGGAAATCTACCTTCAAATGAGTCTCTGTCTCAGTTTGCTCAATTGTAGCTGGGATACATAGCTGCAAGTCTTGTACTGGTGACTCGAGGTCATCTGCCTATTTAATAAAAAATAAACAAATTGTAAATTATACTAAAGCTTAACATTCTGTGTATTACAGTTTTAATATATGACACACAACAGAAGACATCACATGTCAGAACTATGATTGTTAGCACAAGTGCTTAAAGCTGAGTTCCATTCGAACAGCTACATTCACATACTGTTCATCTATACATGCACTGCTTTACCTGCCAAAATATATGTACATTTATTAGCCAGACATTTTATACAGGTCAATGAATGTATTGTTCCCCACCTTAGTTAAACCATGCCTGTCACTTATCACAAAGAACACAGCAAACTAACTATTTTCCATGGGGTCATGTCACACAAACAATCGTGGCCTTCAACAGGATTGGCTGTGCAGAATACTCAACCTGGTCCTATTAGTCACTTCTTTCCTGTGCAGATGAGCAAATCGTCACTGGGGAGAGACATTCTATTCTGCAGTGTTCCCATCACTCATCCAGCCAGTGAGAGAGCAATGCAAGGAACGGCGTACTTACCCTGATCAGCATAGTGATCCTGTTGCTGGCGAGATGTCACTATTGACAGGATCTCTAGTCAGACATGGGCCCTTAAGGGTTCTCCAATCACATTTCACAAGGTTCTGATTTAAAGACTTACTTGTTGAAGTAAACGCTTTAGCTTTAAAAGCTGCGTCTTTACAGTGGTGCAGTCTTGGACCATGTGTCGTAGAGTCATTTCATCCAGCATGACAGTGTTTTCCTGTAAGACAATCGCCTGAGGAGACCTTGGTGACAGCGGGCTACAATAGGGACTCCCAAAGCTATCTTTTTGATCGTAGGGAGACTCCAAGCAAGAAGACCCCCTGTAAAGCAGGAAATACACATTTTAATTAATTTATATAATCATTCCACTTTAATGTAACATTATAAAGATTTAAAAACACTTAAAGCAAAGGGAACAGTAACTTGCACACTGATATTGTCACTTTTACAGGAAGCTGGTTGTATGCTGGTCATATGTCAGCCGAGTCAGCACGACTTGACCAGTGTGTGGCCCCCTCAGGACCCCCCTATTCGACAAAAGTTTTTTTTTTTTTTTTTGTCGAAGGATTTTTTCTGAAAATTCTCCCCAAACAGTGAATGCAAATAATCCATCAGATCTCATCCATGCTGTTTAGTGTGGATGGAGGAATCGAGCATTCAGAGGGGCTGAATGAGAAAAACAAAAACCAAACATTCAGAGTATGGTAAGCCTAAGAAGCAACAGTAAAATGACATAAGATGCTAAAGGCCAACAGAACATGGAGAAATAACAGAATATATTCCTACATTTAAAAAAAGCATGATGCTTGTGTGCACAGACCCTTACCACAGCACAATGGTATTACAGGAGTGCATTTCGAATGCATATACAGGCAGTCCCCGGGTTACATACAAGGTAGGGACTGTAGGGTTTGTACTTAAGTTGAATTTGTATGCAGGTACAGGTAAATTTTACAGTGCAACTCCAGCCAAAAAAACATTTTTTAGTTTTGGATAGCATAGAGAAGGGTCGCGTTTGTTTTGCTGTCTGTTCCCCTTGTTCAGAAGATTATAATAGAATAAAAAAAAAACAAAAAAAACTTTTATTTAAAATGACACACCCAAAAAAGTTTTTTTCCATTTTTAATTTTATAAACTTTTTTATTTGTTTGCATTTTACATTTTTATTTATGTAACTTTTTAAACTTTTTTTTACTTTAATGCTGGGAGCAATAGCCAGCCTTCTATTGGATATTTCAAATTTTTGCATGGCATGGCAGAAAGATGAGCATATAACTGTATATCTGTAAAAAAAAAGGTCAAGGCAACTGGACTTGCTGTATTTTTCTTGAAGACAACTGGTCATCAGACCAGCTTTCTCAATTTAGAATGACTTGTACAAAAAATTATCTGGGAATAAATATGGTGCATGTTATTCCCAGATAATTTTTGTACAAGTCATTCTGAATTGAGAAAGCTGGGTGGATGACGATCAAGAAAAATACAGCAAGTCCAGTTGCCTTGACTTATTTTTTACAAATATACCATAACCTGAATGAATGAGAACCTTCACAGACAAGCATATAACTTGTTTGCGGTGCTGACCTGGTAGGGGGCTGAAGGGCCTGTCAGTGCTGATGCTGTAGCCCTTATTCTCTTGAATGTCTTCTAGCTCCTCAGGAAATAAACCATTGGCTCTTTAAATAAGAACCACAGATGCCATGTTAAATTATAAGTCTTATTAAGTTTTGGCTACAGCAGGGTTTCCAACGCTACCCATGCCCCCAGCAGGAATATTTCCTTCATTTATTGTCATAAGTTTCACCAAATAAAGGGAAATTCCACTTTGACAGTTTTCATTAGAACACATGTCCAGATTGTAAGACATCCCTTTTGCATGTTACCAGATAGCAACCATAACATTTTAAATTCTACATTCTCTATTGTGATGACAATAGACACTATGACAAATAGTGAGAACAGTTCTCTTCAATGGGAACACAAACAGTAAAAAAAAAAAAAAAAAACAGACAGAGGTCATAACCATTTCCTCCTCTATCTAAAACCAGGAAAAAAGTTTTGGCTGTAGATCTAGTTTACCTTGAAAAAGAAGATTGTTATTATGACAATGATTATGTACTCCTATTATGTACACACCTTAAATTGTTGACTGCAAATGATGCATGTCATATTTAAAATGATTTGAATACATTTCAATTGGAAAATATAAATCGAACATATTTTGTGGGCAGAGAGATAAAGCATAAGAAATGACAACTGAAAATGATGCGGGTGTGCCCAATAGTTGTAAAAATACAACACAATGAGGTTGCTTTCCCACTAACACTCCTGTGTTTATGTTCTTTAAATGGAGAAATTATCTGGGACGTATAAATAAACTTTAGAATTCCCAGACCACTTTTCACTACATTTAGATGTATAGGCCTTTTTGCGGGTTCAGCCACATTTACATGCGTTTAGCTTATTTAAAAATTCTAATCGGATGCGGGGTGTTCAGAATTGTATTTGGTCTAAATGCAGGTAAACTGACTACACACCCAGTTTGAATGATACCATTAATACTCATATCCATTAAGAACTGGCCACAAAAAGCATATAAATGCATATTTGTCAATGCCAGTGTGACTGAGGCCTAAGAGTAGATCACCTATGAAGGGCATTGTAATAATTATTATTCAGGATTTATATAGCACCAACAGTCTGCCCAGCATGTTACAAAATTGAATGATTATTTAAAAAGCTATCTCTGGGGTGATCAATAGAAACCTTTGTGTCAATATTACATCAAGGTTTTTTTTAATTTTTTCAACATGATGCACAGAAGTTTCTGGAGAAAATTCCATCTATTCTGTACATTTTTCACACTGAGATGAAAAGAGTGAAAATACCCCAGGTTAGGAAACTGTAAAAGGTCAACCAACATATAAAAAAAAAGAACGCTGACTCATATGTCATACAACTGAAATAAATGAACCATTACACAGCACAGGAAAGTGTACCAGTAGCACTTTATAATAACTGGTATTTCAGAAGGAGTTAAGGTGTATGGAATCCTCTCTACCAATTATGGTGTATGCATTAGAACAATTAAGGCAACTCCTATGTTAATTGTGGAAATGAAGTACTAGTTGCTGCTGCTGCAATATTAGAAACGCTTTATTTAGAACTCCATATCGCTTACCAGACCGAGGAAATCTTTCTGGCATAAGTTTAACATGTGCACAACATGAAAGAAAAAATACTGTGTGTGTGTGTATATATACAGTATGTTTGTGTGTGTATATGTGTGTATATGCGTGTATATGCATGTGTGTATATGTGTGTGTGCATGCGTGTGCATATACACACACGTTATAAAAGTAAAAGGTATAGTGTGTGCCTTTTACAAAACGTAATTCTTTCATCATTATATTTTATAAAATACCTAAGGCCTGTAAATTCAGGGGGTCTCTGAGATTCCAACAGCCATGTACATGTAATCGAATTCAAAGGATTAGAAGCTGGGCAAAGTGACAGGTTCTTGTGAATGGCAAAAGGCCATCCCACTGATGTTTGCCCTCCACTCCACCCTGCTCTGCTGTCACAGCTGTGGGTCACCCTGTGTAAGCTCTGTGTCGGTCTATGTCACAGATTACAGAGGATTTAAGCCCATCTCCAGGATAAAGTTAATCCCACTCCCTCCCCCTATAACTGATTGATTAAAACAATGGTCTTTCTACTAACATAAAGATCCTCCAGTCCCAAGCCTTCCCTTTCGTTTACTTCCAGTGGGGTCCCTCTTCAGGTATCCACATCACTGCCTGAGGGACGTGGACACTTCCTTTTGGCTGTCCAGTAGCAGGGTCCTCTCAGGATCCAGAAAGAAGTGCCATCATCGCGAGGGAAGTGTTGGGGACCGGCCAGCGACTAACTGCAACACTAGGTTAGCAGTTCTCTACACCCGGAAATAGCACTGGTGAGGGTCCTGGATGGAGGACTTAGGCAAGTAGACCTTGATTCACCAGGTAAGAACAAACCCCCCCCAAAAAAAATTGCACAATGTGTTAGAAAGAGGTGGGAGGGGTATCATATTTTGTCCAGAGAGGGGCTTTTTTTAATAACTTGCTCCCCTGCGTCATGTGACAGTGTTCGGGACTGCTAAGCCCTGAGCACTGGATCCTGGAAGGAAAGGGAGAGAGTGACATTTCTGATTATACCTAGACACATTACATACAAGGGAGGAGAAAATGAGTGCAGGGGCGAGTATTGGTGAGTGAGAGAAGAGCTTGCAAAAGAAACCTGTCACTTTGCTCTGAATGGTCAAAGCCACAGATTAACTGTATTTCCCAACTGAAGCCAATGTTTTTAATTAATTTCAAGAGAAAAGTTAACATTTCTGTCAGGTTTATTTTTTCTTCCACTGAGGAGATTTTTCTTATTTTCTGTCCTAAAACACCAGGACAAGAAATGGGGGAAGCAATTGTCACCTAGACAGGAAGACACAGACAGCAATAAAACACTATCAGAAGTTCTAACATTTCCAGACAATGTTAATCATTTTTTAAGTGCCTTTAGTCAGGCTTTAAGCTTTCAACTTTTTTCTTTTACTGAGCCTGCAATTCAACTACATGATCTGCAATATAAGTGTGGGGGGCAAAACACCTTTCCTCTTAAGGAAAAAACTAAATAAAAAAATCAGTAGAGCATTCCTCCTCTTGTACAGAAGTGAATGGCTGTTCATTCATACCTGCCATTGTGGTAGTGTTCAGGATTGCTTAGGTGGTATTGCTCTTGCCCATTAAGTCGAGGAGGATTTCTTTTCCAAAACAGTTTTTGTTGCCTCAGATTTCGGTCAGATCTCTCAAAACGGCTCATATTTTCACCTTCACCTACATTTCATGAACAAAAAATGCAATATAATTGGAAAAACATATCAACAGTTATTTTTCATGCACAAGATATAATAATAATACAGGTTTGAAATGTTATATTGGCCTACTGAGAGATACCCAATACTCATAGCTGTATTTTTACACATATTAAACATGTCTGCAATACATGCACATTTCCCCGTGTTTTATTCCTTTAAAGACTCAGTAAGTACAGAAAAATCACTGGCGATGTGTTAGAAATGCACTCCACTCCTAATGTCTTGTTGTGGACTGACAATACACAGCATTTTTGCGGACTTAATGGTGTCAGTCTTTTACTTAACTATTGAACCCCTCTCACACTGTCCTCATCTATAAAACATAACGTGGAATTCACAGAGGGGAGTAGGCATAAAGCCGCTGCCACTTTTCTAAAGTGAGAAAATTAAGTAGATTCTTATCCTAATTAACAAAGTCCGGTGAGGCATGGGAGCTGTCTGCCAGGTTACCAGTAGACAGTTCACATCCCTCATACCAGGTCTGCGGGGATCTGCAGCAGTTTTCTATATTGAAAATTGCCAGAATCTCTTTGTTCAATAGGTGCAGAACCTAAGCCACTTTCCATTTCACTTTAAAATAGAAACCGGCATTGGGAGGTGCAGATAGGTCTGAACATTTTTGTTGATGTGGCACACAACACTTGCACCAGTTTCCTGCAACATTATAACTCCCCCTGTAGAGTCTAATTGTTCTGTTGCCAACAATAACAGGCAAAAGGGCGACTTATGCTTATTAAGACAGCACAGGAGTGCGCATAAGACATCTCTGAATTTCTAACATGATCAACAGGTAATTTTTGCACTCAAAGAGATATAGCAAAACACTTTCAATGACATATTTAACGAACACAAAGCTAACAGATATGACAAGTTCATTAGGAGGGTTTACATACACTTTAAGAGCAAAATGGCAAGTCCAGAGCTGTATTAACCGTCACGATCTAATGAAATCAAAGCCAACCACCAAGCCAAAAGCTGCTAAATATATTTTTTTTATATCATCTACATATGAAATAGCAGTAAAAGGCACCCTATATAGAATACAAAATCTGCAGCCCAAATACAAAGTTACCCTGTTCCTTACCAGGGAAGAATGTGATTTCAGCAAGCAAGAATTCTTTCACAGAGAAGGGCTGCTCTGTTTCAATGCCATTCCATCTAACACAGAAGTGAAAACCTCCCATTTCATTAATGAGGTCTTAGCAGTGTGCTCAAAACAACATCAAAACAAGTCCTTAAAACTTTAACTTCTCGTAGAAGCAAGGATCAAGCAAGGTGAAACCTCTCAGGCCAAGAAAGTACACGCCGTACTGTGGAACACTAAAGTAAAAAAAAAACAAGCATACCGGACACAGCAGAGAAGAAGAACAGAGACCGTGATCAGTAGGTTTATACAGGACTTTTCCATCTAAACGCCATCAGCTACTTACCCAAACAGCAGAGTTACAAAGGGGAAACATTGTGTCATTCTCCTGATGAGTCCTGCATTACTGCATATAAGACATTTAACAAACAGGCCTTCCTTCCTACTGAATTCCCACCCCTTGTGCGGCTGGGCTGGGAACGGGCCCAGTTTTGTCCTGTGACTTCAAAACTCCTGCCCTAACTAACCACTTGCATAGCTAGCACACTAGAGCCAAGTCTTTAAATAGCAGCACCTCTTACAGTCAGGCAAACTTGATGCAGGGAGGCTTCTGCAACACAGCACAAACTTTACCGACAGGATTCCTAGACTTCCTTGCTAGACGTCAAGAATGTAAGCAAGCCATCTGATTTTATTTTAATAAGAAATGCTGCCACAATGAACCGCAGAAGGTTTTCCTTCAGGAAAAGGATTGAGGAGATTAATAGGTTAAAGACGCAAAGCAGGACTCTTCATGTAAAATCATGCTCCGAGCGCATGACAAAAGCCTAAAACATTAATTGTTATATAGCTTCACGAAGGCTTAACGAATCATCTGAAAAACATTCTATTCAAAAGTTTTTATTAATTTTAATTGAGGCATATACAATGACCATCTACATACTACAATGTAACAGAACAACATAAAACAAAAAGACCGTCTTCGGGATTCCTTATTATTCCATCTCTAGTATCTGGTCTCAATTGTTGACACAAGCCTACCGTTTTTTATTTCGGGTCAAGCTAGCCCCCTGCCCAGCTTCCCGCTCCAAACTTCGGCCTTAGCGGAACTATTCCTATTTTACCCCCTGAAGATATACCTACGTCCCATCTTGTTATCTTGGGGTTTAGCAATCACTCGACCGATGGTCAAAAACCCAGGGACTTGTCGACTATCCCTTTATCTTACCAGAAGCTTGTGTAAGAACAGTCGAGACCAGATTACTAGGTTATCTCTATTATAGTGTATCATCGACCTGAGACTGCCTTACAAAACCTGAAGACATAATAAAAAAACAAAAAACAAAAAGCAAAAACAAAAAAAAGCAACAATGTGGTTATATAACAACTGTTGCAGTAGGTTTTAATTTTGAACATATTAAAATGTTTCTGGTCGGGGTGGGCTAGGGCTCACCTTCGCTCCCTTCCTCTCACACTCCTACAGGATTTACATATGCCGCCCACGGTGCCCAGGTAAGCTCAAACTGTTCCATTTTGTCCTGGAGTATACTCGCCAATTTTTCATGAGTCATAATCCTCGTTCAAAGCCACGGACTTAGCTGGATTTATATAAAGCCCCGGCATCTTTGAAAAACTCTCCAAGGATGCCATTACATTGGGAAGTGTAATCAAAGGTTGGGTTAAGAACAGCAATAAGTCGTTTGCAAAAATGGGGGCGCATTTGTAAAAACATTCTAAAAGGAAATTATAGGAAGTAGTGTAAAAATGTTAATGCACAGAATTTGAATGCATTTTTTAAATGTATAAACTGGTTCAGCTTTATAACGAGAGAAGGTTGTACAGTGGACCTGCACATCACTGGCCCTAGAAATATAGTACTAAGCTGTGTGCATCTTTTTTTTGCGGTGAACCACAGCATTCAGTGTACATAAATCAAGGCAGCAACAGGACAGGGTAAAGTTTAAAAAAACTGATACAGTAGAGACTGAATTAAATTAGGGAGTTGCAAATGAAATAGCAATCCCTATTAAGAACAAGCATACAGGTATACTTGGATGAATAAATGAATATAGTGATATTTTTTTTATATGTTCTTACTATTAGATTTTCCTTTTTTATCCTAATGTTACTACTCAACACTGCTAAACCTCAGTGGAAATCCAGCCTTAACGACTGTAGAATAACACTAGTGGTGCACCGAAATGCAAATTTCAAAACCAAAACGAAACCGAAATTTTTAAAATGTCAGGCCGAAACCGAAACTGTTTTTATTTTAAACTTTTTCAAATATTTTATTTGTATTTATTTTTTTATAAACATTTTAATTTTGTTAATATTTATTTCATATTATATATATTTATTCATTTATTAAATATTTTTATACCTTACTTTTAGGGGCTTCGGGGAAATATTAGGGGTCTAAACAGACCACTGATATTTCCCCCTTTTAAAATAGAAAAAAAGAGATTGAGGACACAGAGTCCTTCTGCAGCCCCTGTTATCAATGAACAGGAATCCTCTATACTGAGTGTTCCTGTTTATTCCTAACATGAGAACATAGTGTGTTTACTATAACTACATCTACAGTGATGTAGATCACTTCCCATTCATTCATAATTGAGGTTATAGTAACCGTACTACGTCCTCAATTCATCGATCACTGAGTGTTTGCACTCGTATGCTTCCTGACACGCTGAGCGAGCGGAGCTCAGCCTCCTGTGACAGCACTGCAAGCGGTCTCCGCCCAGACACCTCTCTCTCGATCTGTGACAGGAGGCTGAGCGGTGTGGGAGGAGAAACGCTGGCCGCACACAGCGCTCTCCTCCTGCAGCGCTCGGCAGCCTGTCACAGTTTCTCTCCTCCCCACTGGGACACAGAGCAGCGCCCAGCAGAGAGGAGAGAATAGGATGCACCGTTGTATCGGACAGAAAATGGCACTTTCGTCATTATAACAAAAGTGACATTTTCGGCCGATATGTTTTGGCGGCCGATATATCTGTGCATCCCTAATACTAATGTATATTTGAAATACTCTCATACCGTATATAATTTAGAATAAACCCCAAAATAACCCCCACTCACCTATTTGATTCATATGGTCGGAAAACAAAAAAAGATATTGGAATGTCAGGGAAAGATAAAACAACCACCAATAGGTGTCTTATATGAGAAAATACATTTTGCGGTCATATAAAAGGAGGATAAAAACATGACAATTTGATAGCATGAGGTTTTCAATGTCTGGCTTTTAATGAATTCATAATAAATGTTGTACTTTCATACATGCATACATCTAACATATTGTGAGCACCTTGAAAGTGTCTTTATTCATTGTACATTACACCTCAAGATGGGAGGTAGAAACTGGACTTAACAGACCGATGTTAATCTATGGGCCTGCGGATGTAAACAGATGTGTGTCTGCTAACATCCTTTTTCCTCCAATCAATCAAGTTTGGGTTATTTTTCTTTACTTTTAGGGGCTTTGGGGAAATATTAGGGGTCTAAACAGACCCCTGATATTTCCCTTTTAAAATAGAAAAAGGAGATGTGGACACAGAGCCCTCAATCTCTTGTTCTGCAGCCCCTGTTATAAATGAACAGGAATCCTCTATGAGTGTTGCTGTTCATTCATAACATGAGAATAGAGTATGTTTACTATAACCACAATTATGAATGAACAAGAGGTGATGTAGATAACTTCCCATTCATAATTGAGGATATAGTAACCATACTATTTCCTCAAGTATGTAAAAACACTCAGCGATCACTGATCGCTGAATGTTGCATTGGCTCTCCTTCATGACTCGCTGTCACGTGAGGCTGAGAGAGCGGTGTAGGGCGCATTTGAGAGAGCTCAGCCTCCTGTGACAGCACTGTCCATCTCCGCCCACACATGGCCCTGCCAATCTGTGACAGGAGGCTGAGCGGTGTGGCAGGAGAGACGCCGGCCGCTCACATCGCTCTCCTACCGCAGCGCTCGGCCGTCAGTTTCTCTCCTCCCCGCTGGGACACAGAGCAACGCCCAGCAGGGCACTCCTTACCATCTTGTCTTAAATTGTATTGTGACTGTAAAGTCTTCCTAATATTGTAAAGCGCTGTGCAAACTATTGGCGCTATATAAATCCTGTATAATAATAATAAACGGATGAAGGACTGTATCGGCCAGAAAATGGCACTTTCGACATTACGTCCAAAAGTGCAATTTTCGGCCTATATGTTTCGGCGGTGCATCCCTACTTATCACTTACCTCTCTCTGATTTATTCAATAACAAAAAAGGTATGGAAGAAAACCTATGCTCCTAGAAATACGGGCACCGCCACAGCAGACCTCCATCAAAAATTGTTAGTTGCCGGTCTGTCTCCAACATTAATAATTTCAAATTCACTGACTCAGAAGAACCATGCAGATCAGGAAAGTCAGGGTAAAGTCAGGACTTTTGAACTGAATCAATGTTTATAGTCAGTGACTTATAAAGTAAAAGTCACTAGCTCAGCGGGACAGTAAGCAACTAATATTTTTATGCGAAATCAGCAACCTCAATACAAGTTTACTTTAACGCCCCATTCCCAACAAAACATATATTTATTCAAAATTAATGGTGAATAATTAGAACTGCCATTTTCTTGCTGTTTGTGACCCTTGACAGGAACAGGGGTCACCAGGACAAGAAATCACAGATCGTAATATAAATGTGTCTAAGATTGTAACCTAGAAAATGTTAATGTTGTTGTCTGTTTTCCCATCACTTCCTGTTCCTTTACCAGGCTGGGACACTGACAGGAAATTAGGGAAAATCTCCCAAATGAGGACATTAATACAGGAAAAAAACAAAAAAACTGAAATTTAACACTTGCCTACCCCCCTTCAACAAAATGCTATACATCATTTACTTTTCACCAAATCCAAAGTATTCGGCGAGAGCTTTCCTATAGCTCTCCATAGGGAAATCTGAACAAGTAGCATTCTAAAAATGCTAGCTTCCACAGCAGGAAAGAATTCTAGAATGAATCCTGCAACACAGTCTAAAAGGAATAACTGTTACAAAGCACACATTGGGTGTTCAGGCTTTCTACAGTACACAGGGACAGTAGGGTGGTTAAGAGAAAGCATAAAAACAGTGGTAGTTCAGGGCCCTGGAATTCAGAGAAAGAATAGGGTAGGTAAGAGAACAGACACCATGAATGTTTTAGGTCCTGGAGTCCAAAGAGACAGCTAACAGGTATCACAGACCACACAAACAATGGGTGTTCAGGGCCCTGGAGTACAAAAACAGTGAATGGGTATCACAGAACACACAGGGTTTCAAGAGTGAATGGAAGGAGTATAGTGAGTAATAATAAACAGAACCCACGAACACGAAGTGGGTGTTTAGGTTTCTATATTGCACACAGAACACACACAATGATTGTTCAGGGTCTTGTGATTACACAGAGACAATGAGTGGGTATCAGACAAGACACACACATTGGGCGTTCAGGGTCCTAGAGTGCACAGAGAAAGTATGGTGGCGAACACACACACAAAATTAGGGTATTTTTATTGTTCCCAAAACAAACATTTAACAGGGATCAGAAGAAATGCCTTGTTATAATGAAAGAATACTAACCAGGGTCACATGGTGGGTCCTCTGGTATTTCCACATCCAGCATTAGGTCATCCTCTTCTAGGTCACAGGTCTCAATATTATTAAGGATGTCCTGTAAATGAATACAATGTATCAGTGTCAAACATAAAATAACTGAAGGCACCAAGAGGCATGAAATATTAGAAGGGTTCCAGAGTTTCTAAGAGCCTGGACATCTGGAATAGTAATTTATGAAAATACACAACTTCAGGACATTGATCCACCACTGCTTGTCCAAAACAGTAATAGGCAACCTTACTACTCAATAAAGGTGGGAGAGAAGTCATCTGTATATTTGAGCACCTAGGGTTTCAGGGATCCAGTTTTGAAGTATAAAAAGGTACCAGCTCCCCTGTTAATATAAACAGAAGAGCTAAACAGTCTCCTGTTGAGATTGAATGAGCACAACTAGTATAGACTGAAGACTTGTAAAATGTCAAACTAAGTATAGTAAACACCAATGCAGACTATAAAGTAACACATTTCTCCTATTTGTAGTAAGCAGTACTGATCAATTTGTTTTTACTACACTGGAAATATTGAAAGTTCCAAATGAAAAGTCAGATGTGGATTCTTAAGGCAGTCATGATTGGGCACTAATAAAATAATTGTTTCTCAGAGGCATTTATGTAACAATTTTGGTAGCTGTTTGTGTAGCTCGTCAGGATCCATTTGAAGTGAATCACTCCAAAGTAGACACACTGCAGCAAATCATTAAGGACTTCATCTAAATAGTCGGTTTCACAAATGGTTCTTACTTTTTAGAATAGTCTCTTTTGTGCACCCAAGGTTCTATATAATGGAACAAGACAGGCAATTGTCTTTTTACTTCCCAGCAAGGAAAACAATTGAGGCAGATACATTGGAAGGTACATTTTGTCACTGTACACATTTCAGATTCAAGCTCTTGAAAATCACTAAAAACAACCTGTACATCCTGCACGAAGGGCTCTGATGACTGCAATGCTGTACAGAATACAAAACACTAAATCCAGTTGGTTTCAATTAAACTTTTTTGTGCTTCAACTTCTGGATAGAGCAGGAAAAAGATAGGACCCTCTACCAAGTCATTATTGATATTTGGACCCCTATGATCAGATCGCTTCTCATGTGGTCACCGGGAATGTCTCCAATGATGGCACAGACAAAAATAAAAAACACAATTGGGTAGGAGAGCTTCAAAGCTCTGTAAATCCACATTGAGCAAGATGTCTTCACTTTCTTTATGATCACCAGGGTAGAGTTTGAGGGAAAGTCTCTAAAATGGCAACACAAAAAGCCATAAGAATCAGACAGGGGTTCCATCTCCTTCCCAACCCTACTGGCCGGAGTGGGCTTTCATTAGACACAGGTATGCGCAATGACAAAAACTCTACCAGTAAACTGATACACAATAGGAATGATTCCACATGCTATTTAAGGACACCCTGACAGCGTATGATGGTACAACCATTGTAACAGATTATTCCAAATATAAGAAACCTGGCGGGATAGGAACATCGAATAGGGAGAGCTTGCCCGCACATTCTGCCACAATACACCCAAAATGAATACACCTTTTTTTTAAAAAGTAAAATTGTCCTTACGGCTCCATTCACTCCTGAACATTTTGCGTGAAATGCAAAAAACAATTGTGCGCATTGACACCCACTCTGACACCCACCTCACCACTTGCCCCCTGGACCCTGTTCCCTCAAAACTACTTCGGTCTCCTATCATGAATGCAGCTGCCAGACTCATTCACCTTACCAACCGCTCAGTGTCTGCATCCCCCCTCTGCCAATCCCTACACTGGCTTCCACACGCCCAGAGGATAAAATTCAAAATATTAACAGTCACCTATAAAGCCATCAACAACTCTGCCCCCGGATATATCTCAGACCTTGTCTCAAAGTATCACCCTAAACGTCCCCTCCGCTCATCCATTGACCTCCTGCTTTCCAGCTCCCTTGTCCACTCCTCCCATACTCGCCTCCAGAACTTCTTTAGAGTCTCTCCCATCCTCTGGAACTCCTTACCCCAACCTGTCAGTCTATCTCCCACCTTGACTGCCTTTAGGCGTTCCCTAAAGACTCATCTCTTCAGGGAAGCCTATCCCACCTCAACCTAACCACTGAACCTTCACATTCTCACATAAATTCATTCCCACAGCTACCTCATGTATCATTTCCCCCTCCTCTTTTAGATTCTAAGCCCTCAGGGGCAGGGCCCTCCTTACCATCTTGTCTTGAATTGTAACTGTAATGTCTTCCTTATATTGTAAAGCACTGCGCAAACTGTTGGCGCTATATAAATACTATGTAATAATAATAATACTTGACAAACATTTGCGTACAAAACACAAAACGTGCTTGCTGTGCCACTACTAGTTAAAAGGCAAAAACTTATGTTTTCAAGCACAGAGAAAAAAAATAATAAGAATGCAGATTTTGCTACATGCACTACTTTTCTGTGTTTGCCATGCTTTCAGGACTCCTTGAAACCAATGGGGATGCACAGCAAATGCAGAAAACATAGTGCAACGCGTTTTGCCGGGTTTTTTTTACTGCGATTGCGTGTTTGGATTTTTTTTAGCTTAAAATTGTCTTACAGGTGCATTCCAGTGCATTTGTATGCATTTTTAGGCATTCCAGTGCATTCCCGACCAGACAAAATAATAATAATTATTATTATACAGGATTTATATAGCGCCAACAGTTTGTGCAGCGCTTTACAATATAAGGAAGACATTACAATCACAATACAAATCAAGACAAAATGGTAAGGAGGGCCCTGCCTGTGAGGGCTTACAATCTAAAAGGGAGGGGGAAGTGATACATGAGGGAGCTGTGTGGGGATAAATTGTTTGAGAATGTGATGGTGGAGCGGTTAGGATGAGGTGGGATAGGCTTCCCTGAAGAGAGGAGTCTTTAGGGAATGCCTAAAGGCAGTCAAGGTGGGCGACAGACGGACAGGTTGGGGTAAAGAATTCCAGAGGATGGGAGAGACTGGAGGCGAGCATGGGAGGAGATGACAAGGGAGCTGGAAAGCAGGGAGGTCTTGGGATGAGCGGAGCCGACGGTTAGGGTGATACTTTGAGACCAGGTTTGAGATATATCTGGGGGCGGAGTTGTGGATGGCTTTGTAACTGATTGTTAATATTTTGAATTTTATCCTTTGGGCGAGTGGAAGCCAGTGCAGGGATTGACAAAATAAGACAAGCAGTATTTTTCTGGTCTGGAACGGACTGTGCTGGTGTGAACAAAGGCCAGATATAGCATAGGGATACATTAGGATGCATTTTGGGTCCGGAAACAATCAGGTCTGGTCTGGAGATGATCCGGACATGGTATGAACGGGCCCTAACAGATTCCACCATCCACACTAAACAGCACGGAAAGACAAATCTGCCCGCCAGGCTATGCCAAAGTCAGAATACTTAAACTGTGCCTTCAGCTGATTGTCAATGTTTGCCCAGCAATTTTCAGCCCGGCTCCTCAACTCAGTCAACTTTTGTCAAGCCAGCAGGGCCACACTGTTAGAATTTCAGCCCATTCACATTCAATATGTCCAGCTTAAAGTAGCACTAAATTCTGAAGTTAAAATGTTTAAAATGCATTCAAGCCACTTAACTATTAACAATGCAACTTATTTATCACTCAGCTGTAGATTCTTAAATAATCTCTGAATTGGTGCTGGCACTGTCCTTCCTTCTGGGGGCTGGCTACTTTTGTTCCCCATTGTCCCTGTGTGTGTTGTATAGTAGCCACCGCTACTATACAACACACAGAGATGATTTGAGGATCATCAGAGATGATTTGAGGATCTTCAGCTGAGTGATATACAAATAAGATACATTTTTGTTAATAGTTAGGGTACTTGAATGCATTTTTATGATTTAACACCTGAGTTTAGTGTCACTGGAAAAAGTATTTTGGAAAGTTTAAAATTTTTAACACTGTTATATTTTATGGAAATATACATTTTTCACAGTGTGCTTCAGTATAGCTAAATGTATACAGTGCAGCATATATCACTGTTAATAGTCAGGAAAATATAAAAAAACTTTAAAAATGCAGTTTTCTTGCCAAGATATTTATCTTGGGGAGTATGTTAATTTGAAAGTAATTAAAAGTGACGCTGTAATAAGGAAGCTGTATTTTTGAGTCCCAGACTCAGAGCAAGAATGTTGTAAATGAGTGTCAGAAAAGTGAAAGAAATCCTCCTCTCTATACTTCCAGGTCCCCAACTCCTATAGCACCAAGACCAAAGCTTCAGGATGACAACCAGGAAATTAACTTTCTCAAAAGGAGTTAAGCAATGACAGTTGAGAAGTTATGAAGCTATACCTCTACACATTCTAGAGATTGCTATCCATTGCTTTAAATTGTTTTACATTACATGCATACAGACCAAGTAATCCAAGGCCAACTGATTAATATAATTAAAAAAAGAAGAAGTATCAGCTTCTAAACATTGTATAAGCTAAAAAAGATACTAAAGTGCAGTTACATTATCATCTTTAGGCCTCATTCACATTGCCGCGCCTATATGCACGTATTGTACCATATGCAAATAAATGGCTCCATACACATAGCTGCGTATGGAGCCGTATATTTGCATAGCGTACAAATGCACAAAAACAGAATGGAACCAAGATGTGTCCGGGCAGTGTATTTCTGCGTATTTTACGCGCACATACAGTTCATTCAAATTTCTATTACGATTAATGCATTCTGGGATTGCATATAGTGCGCGCATGTACGCGTATATACGCAATATTAGGGCTGCAACAACTAATCGACATAATCGATTATTGAAAAAGTTAGTTAGCTGCAGCTCTACGCAATATACAATTTTGCTCTTGCGTTGTGTGTGAATGGGGGCTTAAAGTCAATCCTTGTGTGGAGCTCCTTGGACTACAAACCCAGACTGTTGTCCATCTACTTTCCAATATGATTCTAAAAATTGGCCACCTGGCCATGAGTACAAGCATCTACAAAGATCAATACTTGATTCTGAAGATACCAGTGAACACCCTGGCTAAAATGACTTGTGTAGAATAAGAAAAAGAACCATGCATGGACGGAATCT